GGGAACCTTGAAACGATACCAGCGTGCGTAGCGGCGAAAAATGACAAAATTGCAATCTTTTTAAGCATAAATTTTATCAAAAATGTGTGCAAATACATGTTGTGTATTAAATTGTGCTAATAATAGCAAAAATAGGGAGTGTAGTTATTATAGGTTACCAAAGATTACATATAAATTAGAGAAAAGAAAAAGATGGATTCGTGCTATTAATATGAAAAAGTAAATATCACATAATTTCATTTTTATTTAATTGAAATAGGAAAAACTCAAATAATTTACCTTAAATGACATTTCATAACGCTTCAAGCTAACTGCAGAGTGCCTGATGACTTTAGCTTTTACATCATAACTTTTACTATTATTGTTTTTAATTATATGCTCTTTTACGTAAAAAACTTGATTTGCCAGTACTAGATTTTTCCCTTTCTTTTCCGTTTAGGGTTGAAAAGATATATTATGACGAATTTTGAGAATCCCAGTTTTTTATACTACATATTTATTTTGTACATAAATTGAAAAAATATAATTAAAAAATTAATTATTATTAATTGTCAATTTCGCATGTATTTAATAATGTCAAACATACGTCATATGTTTAACCTGAAAATAGGGAGGTCCAAAATGGTCAGATGAAGGCGGTAGGTGTCGCGTCAGTCACGCACGGAGCGAATACTGAGTAACACAAGAAAATCTAAATCTTATATATGGAGACAATTTATGGTGTTCTGTGTGGACCGCAACTACAAATTAGATGCAGAAAATAACAACGAAAGACTAGCATTCATTCTAAAACACTGGGCCTTCAACATGCGAAAAATTGATAATAGTGATTACAAGGAGAGTGTTATTAAAACCATATGGAACACTACTGCAAAATTGGTACAAGAAAAATATTTCTGTGAGTATCAGAGACATATTGATCCCTTCAAAGATATAACCTTCAAGGAAACGAGAGCGGCTCGTGATAGTAAGAGAAAATTGTTGCAAACTGTACCCGATAAAAGGAAAATGAGTTCTGTCGCTATGACTTCGGATGACTATAAAAATATGTGCTTACAATGAGACGAAGACACGCCAGAGGGACTCCAAAAGAAGTTTTTTCATATAGAATAATATCGGTCATACTATTCAAAATTTATTATTTATTGTTATAGGTAAAAAATAATTATAACAAATTATTTATAGTTATAATAAATATTTCATGATTATGACTAATTGTGAATTATTCAAAAAATGGGTAGATTTGGATTACCTAGATCAAATGTATTATTATTAAATTCCTTCCTCTCATTCTACTAAATTTTTGACCTATCACTTTGTTCATGAAATAGTCTAATAAAATACCACTCGTGATTTAATTTAGCTTATAAGTCTGTCTTTTATTTCTAAACTCAACTGAGTTTCTTAAAGAAAACACCACTCGTCCTACGGACTCGTGGTGTTTTCAAGCAACTCAGTTTCGTTTAGAGTAAATCGACAGACTTATCGCGAAAATTGAATCACTAGTGGTATTACTATTGAAAATTCAATTAGCTAACTATTTTATTTCATTACGATTTTACTCCAAAATAAATCGTTTTAAAGTTATAAGCAAGGAAAGTAATTAAATTTAAATAAGAAAATATTTAAATTTTTATTAATAGTCGCGACCTATTTAATAGGAGGATATGTCAATTATTATTATTAAAGTTATCGCACAACTTTTTCTGCAAAAATTATGATGCTAACTCTGACATCCAAACGTAGTCGTTTTTTTTTCAGAGATCAGCCGTGGTCTAAAGTGTAACTTTGCTTATTTTAGTTTTTTTCGCATTTTTTGATATATTGTCAAATCATTTATTATTTTTATTTTAATTTTCTTGATTTATATAGACTAGATAGAAGTTTTTCTTCTTCATATCGCAAATTATAATAAAAAACTTTAATTAAATTTTTTAATATTTATTTTTATTTTAATAATTTTTTTTTCATATCACAATTTATTATAATTATACTTATGACATACTACAAGTAAGCCAATGACAAAAATAGGCAGACTCATTATTGGAAGTTTTAGTTTCCTTTTTGAAACAGAAAATATTATATATAGGTACAGGGTGGTGAATCGGCAAACGGACCATAGGAAACTCAATGGTAAATTCTAAATTGTTGAATTCCTGCTTCCCTAATTACTTTACACCAAAAGTCATGGGAAACTATTTGTAGAGGACTCAAATATGTATCGAAAACAACTGTTAAAATTATTCTACGACTTAAACGTATTCCAAAATTTTGCTAAAATATAATACATTTTTCTTTGACAAAATGTGTATTACGTGTTGCGTTTTGTCATATTATTGTTTCTGATATTTGATAATATTTAAATCAATTATATTATATTTATCTATGATTTAAATGACCAAAATTTTGTGATTTATTGTTTTAAAAAAATTAAGTTGATTAAAAAATGTACCCAGTTGAGGAGAAAAAAGCAATAATAAAAATGTTTTATTCATGTTTTATTATTACATTTGTTATAGTTTTAAGTTTAGAAATAATCATATATTATTATTAGGAATAAAGATCACAGTAATAGTATATTGGAATTCATTGAATTGTTGTATAACTTAACTTAACATGGAATTAAATTTTAGTGAATTAGAATATCTTACGTTAAATAAAGATCCGGTAGTGGCAGGAAAAGGTTCGCGCTATTGCCTGAGTAGGTACATTATGCGATTTTTCGGCAACTGAGTACATTTCATTATATTGATCGATTTGTAAAAATATAATTTATTTTTCACAAAGTAATAATGTTCAGTAGTAGTAGTATTTAGTAAAATTCATTGTTTATAATTTAATCATAAAATAAAAAAATTGACAATTCAAATTGTCAAACATCTGACATTAATATGATAAAAGACACACGTCCCAATATATATTCTTGCATTACGTGTGGCCTAACTTTTAGGGGTGGTCTGAAAAATGTATCCACATTTTTTCAAAATTTTGAAATACATTTGATTCGTAGAACGGTTTTAACATTTGTTTCTAATTCAGATTTTAGTCCTCTACAAATAGTTTTTTATGACTTTTGATCTAAAATAATTAGGGAAGCAGCAATTCAACAATTTAAAATTTCTCATTGAGTTTCCTATGGCCCGTTTGACGATTCACCACCCGGTATATATATAATATTAATATATAATATTTATATTATATAGATATATATATATATATATATTATATATATATATTATTATATAGATATATATTAATTATTATATATTATATATATATATATTATATTATATTATATATATATTATATGTGATATAGTAATAATAAATGGTAGATGGCTCAAATAAACATATATTTCAAAAGAACGTTTTACAAATTACAAAACAGGTGCATTACACTCAAATTGCTAATTAATTGTCATATATAGGTTATGTCCTCAAATACATTGTGACTTGACAAATAATAAAATTCTTCTTATTCTTCAAACATGCATATCTTACAAATACCTCCCTTTACAAATTCAATCGTTGTGGTGGATTAATTTCCCTCTTAGATCTACTACTAACTAACTTAATATTATCTTCTGCACCAGACTACAGTTTTTAACAAAATTTCATTTTTAACCTCTGAAGTATTTTTATCAGAATTTAAACCATTCTCACTTATTTCTGGAATCACCTCTAGCTCTGTCTCGGGAGTTATCGGTAGTTCTTGCTCTGATTCATTTTGTATAATAACTGGATTTGGCACAACTACATCTAAAGGTTGAGATACATTCTCATTTGGCCCAATTACATCTAAGGGGTTAGATATGTTCTTTAATATCTGGTTCAAATGTCTTTTCCAAACAATGTTTTGATCTATTAACTTACAAAAATAAATTCTATCACCTAAAATCTCATCAATCTTACATTTCACCCAACCTTTTTTATTTGGGTTCCTATAATCTCTACACCAGACTCTCTCCCCTACTTCAAAATGTACATCTCTTTTCCCTTTATAATTCTGTTCTTGCTTATTTACTTTTTCATTAGCTTGCAAACTTCTTGAAGGACTTTCTTCACAAAGCCTATCTAGTATTGGCCCTGGCCTCATGCCTACCACAAACTTATCCTGGACCCGGTATAACCCGGTCCCCAAAATCGCACTGTGCTGCCTGGTTTTTAATTTTCAGATACCAATCATTAACTGACTCTTGTTCTTGTCTTAATAGGTCAAAAATTACCCTCCTTCGGTACACTGACAATCTAGGCTTAAAATGGGTACTTAAATGTTTCATTAGTGTTTCAAAATCTTTCTCATTGGGCTTCTCTGGATTACACAGGTCTCTTAAAACTTTATAAACCTCCCCACTTAGAAATGTAATTAAAACAGCAACCCTTCTAGATTCCTCAATTAAATTTGCACCAAAATACTGCTCTAAACGTTCCTCAAAAACTTCAAAATCGTCACCCTGTTTAAAAATGGCTAATGAAGATACACCGCCCGTATTTACTACGTTAATAATTAGTTGGTAACCCATGGCACTATCTTCATTTTTAGACATTTTGAACTATTAAAATGTTTATTTCTTTAAAATATCTGTTCAATTATTTTCCTCGTCGCCAAATAATTGTTATATAGTAATAATAAATGGTAGATGGCTCAAATAAACATATATTTCAAAAGAACGTTTTACAAATTACAAAACAGGTGCATTACACTCAAATTGCTAATTAATTGTCATATATAGGTTATGTCCTCAAATACATTATGACTTGACAAATAACAGTACAAATTCTTCTTATTCTTCAAACATGAATATCTTACAATAAACACCAATCCCAAGATGAAAAAGAAATGATCAATAATTTATAATAATTAAAAATTATAGTACCAACTATGTATCAAATAGTAGTTCTTGAGTATTATGAGCATTATCCACTAAATAAATATTATCTATACCATATTTTGGTAATTAGTCTTAAATCTGTTAAAATTATTATTTTAATTTATTGCAGTATCCCGAAGACGGTTACGTAGGCCCACTAAATCATCAGAATCAGTATCAAAAGACCAAGAAGTATCGTCCAGTATATCAAAACTACGAAGAACTAGACCTAATCATCGAAAAGCATCTGAGAATACGTTATCTACCTCCAAGAAAGACAAAGATGATAAAAGTAAAGTTGTTTGCTATTATACGAATTGGTCGCAATACAGAGTTAAAATTGGAAAGTTTACACCGGAAGACATTCTTCCTGATTTGTGTACGCATATTATTTTTGCATTTGGTTGGTTAAAAAAAGGGAAATTATCATCATTTGAAAGTAACGATGAAACTAAAGATGGCAAAATTGGGTTGTACGAAAGGATACAGAAATTAAAGAAAGCCAATCCTCATTTGAAAACTCTACTTGCTATTGGTAAGTACATTGTGTTATTAGTTACTAATCTATTTTATAATTTGTTTGCCATTTTTTGTCACATTTTTACTATTTTCTTTACAGGTTCTCTTTACTATTTTCTTTATCCTATAGTTGATTTTGATCCCTCTGCGTTTGATTTATTTATTATCTTGATGACGTTGACGTTGAAGTTAACTTGGTCTAATTTAATGATGAATTTTGTTTTATTAAATTTAATTTTTTATTTTCCATTTCCTGTCTATTAATTTTTGCAGTTTGTCACTTACTTTTTCGCTGATTTCACGTAGTACAAGGATAGCTCACTTTTTCGCAAAATTTGGCGATAGTATCGTGTTTTAATTACTTACAAAAATTAATATTAAACTCATCAGGTTTTGGTTTAAACCGCGTCGATTTTCATGCTGAGCTTCCGATATTCTTTCTGATATATTCTTCAGAGTTTCCAAGATCTCAGTCTTCAGAGCTTCCAGACACTACACTTTTGACTACTCACTGTACTCCTGTGCAGTGTAGCGTAGAAGGAACATTTACAGAAACAGCACTGGATGAGGTAGTTCAAAAAATCCTATTTTTTAATGTATAAGGCACATTTAATATTGCATTACCAAATTCTGTTTGTGATATAGCAGCATCAAACGAACATCTACTACCGTATACAACTGGGTCAAAGCAATGCTAGAACATAGGCTGATTCTAACAGACCTTCAAAAAAAGAAAGTTTTAGGCAAAACTGCTAAAGCACCCACAAAGCGCAGATATTTCTTTCCTCCAGTTGTCACTCCTGGTAACTGAGGTGATCTCGGTCCTTGTCATGCAGACGGTAAACGTAGATACATTAATTAGGGTAAAAAAAAAAATTACGGAAATATTCTACTAGCACACTCCAACAAACATTAAATATCCTTATTATGTGGTGTAACAGGGAAAATTTTCTGTGAACAGAAACGTAGGTTTCATCTGAATATCTGCACTGTATTGAGTAATTGTCAAAGAAGCAAATGAGGTCAAACATCTAGGAGTAATACTAGATAATCCAACAAAGCCAAAATTTCCGTTTCGAGATGTCGAAGGACATGTGGGAAATTATGAAGTACAAAACTCAAACAAATGCACTTGCTATACTTGACTATAGTCTGACCTATAATTATGTATGGAGCACTAATATGGTGATCTATTTTCATATCTTTTATTGAATATAGCATTCCTTGGATTTATTATAGATACGACCATGTATTACCTTCTAAAACTTGCCTCAAAAAACTTATGGTTCTATAATCAGCACCGGTTTTTGGTATTGTCTTTTTAGGTAGAGCTATGAACAATAAACTGGACCAACTATAGGGTAGGTATTTGCTGTTATAGATGGTATTGAAAAACTAAGTAATAGCCTCTCGAACATTGCTATTATTTATAAATTTGTATTTTTTACTTGGAATTTCATCTGTCGTTTTGCCATTTGCTGAAAACTAAATTCTACTCACCCTTGTTAATTCTTTAAAAATAAAAAAAAATAAAAATGAATTGTCATAATACAAAAGATTTATATTTAAAAATTGTTCTGTATTTTAGGTGGTTGGTCCTTTGGTACCCAAAAGTTTAAAGATATGGCGGCAACAAGGTATTCTAGACAAACTTTTATTTACAGTGCTATTCCATTTTTAAGACAGAGAAACTTTGATGGACTAGACATGGATTGGGAATATCCCAAAGGATCTGATGACAAAAAGAATTTTGTGCTTCTATTAAAAGGTAAAACACATGTGAAAATTAAAATATACTTCTTTGTTAATAAATAATAAGCGCTGTTAATATAAAAAAATGTAATACATATTAGCATACCGAAATGCTACGAATGGACGTTTTTGGATGGTATTAGTAAGTGTTTTTGGATATCTTTAATTTATCCGATATGGATATTTATTTATACTTTTAATCCATTAAGGGTAATTTTTAAAGTTTTAAAGTTTAAACTTTTTTAATATCTAATATTTATGGAATTGTCTTATATCTTTGCATTTTTAAATTTTGACACGTCCTATAAATAGATCACTGGGTGTTGGTGATACGGGTGACACGTCCTATAAATAGATCATTGCAAGTATGTATGAATGAGTTAAAAACCGTAGTAGAAATTAATAAAAACAATTTTTAGTATACAAAACAATTTATACATAATGTAACAGTACATTTTCCAAAATAATGTTGGTGGTTTGGCTTTACAATTTTCTGCTGGTCACCGTTTTTGCTCTTCACGTTTCTCCATGAAGTGTTCTTTCCTATCGAGTTTTATCTTTATAAATACTTAAGCTATTGATGTGCTCGATCTTCCTGCTATACTTCATGCTATATATCAACGAAAATCTAATAAAGTAGTACTTTACTTAATAACTCGTTTTTAGGAAAGCCATGAATTTACTAATACCATCTCAATCAGGCTTATAATTATTATGGTTCCATTCTAGAAAACGTATTCCTCCATTTACATCAAATCGAAAAGCATTATTATTTACGAGCCTCTTACTAAAAGTTTTTGTATTTTGTATAAGAAACTTTGCTAATATATTTTCCCGTAAGGTTACTGTTGCTCGATATTCACATTTATGTAAATGAAATAATAAATATCTGCTAATAAATATTTGCGATAATTTTAAGTGATTGTTTTGCCAGTATAAAAGAAAAAATTATAACCGTGTTTGCTACTTCGACAAAAATTCCAAAATTTATAGCAAAATCGAATAAGCTTTCCACACATAAATTTGTTTGAATGAATTACGTTTATATTATTAAATGAATCAACTATGCTAAAAGCAATATTATCATTTAGACAAGATCTCTGTGAAAAACTTAGCAAACTTAGCGTTGGTAGAGTTAATAAAGGAAAGGAAACAATATATTATATATATATATATATATATATATATATATATATATATATATATATATAATATATATATATATATATATATAATAAAGTTTTATTTTGAGGTTGCAGTCATTAATAGGGCAGGATAAGTGAAACTGTTCTTTAATTAAGCTTTCGCAAAATTTATTTGCTTCTTCAGGATACGCTAAAATACGGTATCAGTAAATACAATGAAATTAGAATTAAAAAACATTGTATAAAACTAGTATAGAAACTTACAACATAAGGTTAATCCCTTAAATTTTTAAATTGACCAAACATTAAAACTTCAAATTATATATTTATGTAAGTACAATATTTTAATTTTATTTAATTTTGTATACAGGGTGGTCCTTAAGTAATTGTACAAAAAGGAAACCGCAGATTCTACACTTTAAAATATTACGATTAAAGTCAACTAGCTTTAATAAAATGTTGATATTACAAAAGATACAGGGTGTTAAAATGGAAATTTAAAATTTTATTTTTCGCTATAACTTTTATGTTTGTAAACATTTATGTATAAAAATTTAAAAGTGGGTACCATTAAATATCAGAAATTATAATTTAATGTATACTTTGATATAGCTAATAGAAGGAGCCACATATGCCAAATACGCGGAATACATTTGCACTTAACTTTTATGTACTTCAAGTTACCGGTATTTTTTATAAAAAATATTAAAGATACATTATTTTAACAAAAAAAAAGGGTATACTTGTTAATAATTTCAAAACTTAAAAGTTTTCGAGATAATCGCATTTTACAAATCAACTGCATAATTCTGATTTAACGCAATTACTCCAGACAATGAAAGAAAAATAGATAAAAACATTAACACTTTTTAATTTTGTTATAAAATACCTTTAATAAAGTTAGTACATATTTAATGAAATATTAAATAAAGTAAATATATCAGCAGGATAATTATTAATCGAATTTGATAAAATAACAGAATAATTGGATTTTACATAAAACATTTTACGTTTTGTATTAAGTTAAAGTCATAATCAAAACATTTTATTTACAAACCAAATTAAGAAATAGTTAAACTAAATAACATTAAACTTTTTGTCAAAGTAAGTGTTCGATATGTCCACCATTTTCTTTAATTCATTTGTAAATACATTCCATAAAATATCGTCTCATATTAAATAGCACATTTCTTCTAAAGAAACTGCTGCAGTACTTATTATAAATATAATAATAGGTATTCTTTTAGAATTTTTATGAATTAACTAATTATATTAATATCCTACCACATGACCAAGGAATATGACTATCACGAACAATCCAACATTCAGGAAAGTTGTTTTTAAATATTGTTTTCACTCCCCTTTCTCTGTAATTTATTGGTGTGCCATCTTGTATAAACCAAATATTTAGCCTTAAGTTTGATGTCAATTCTTCCAATAAATCAATAAAATCATTTAAAAAAAATGTAAATAAATCTCACCATTCAAATTGCAAGGTAATTCGCATATCCGTAAAATATCATTCATACATCATATTTAAAATGCATGTCCTATGGTTAGGAACAATTGGTAACTATTTTTTACGAATATGCGAATTACCTTGCAATTTGAATGTCGAGATTTATTTACATTTTTTATAAAATGATTTTATTAATTTATTGGAACGATTGTCATCAAACTTAAGGCGAAATATGTGGCTTCTACAAGATGTTACACCATTAAATTACAGAGAAAGCGGAGTGAGACAGCATTTAAATACAACTTTTCTGAACGTTAGATTGTTCGTGGTAGTCACAGTCTTATGGTGAGATATTAATATAATTATTTAATTCATCAAAATATCTAAAAATTACTTATTATTATACTTATAACACTTATAATAAATACTTCAGCAGTTTCTTTAGAACCAATGATGCTATTTAATATGAGACGATATTTTATGGAATGTATTGACAAATGAATTAAAGAAAATGGTGGACATATTCAACACTTACTTTGACAAAAAGTTTAATCTTATTTAGTTTAACTATTTCGTAATTTGGTTTGTGAATAAAATGTTTTGATTATTACTTTAATTTAATACAAAACGTAAAATGTTTGATGTAAAATCCAATTATTCTATTATTTATCAAATCCTATTATTTTATCCACCTGAAATATTTATTTTATTTAATAATTCGTTAACCGTTAACTTCATTAAAGGTATTTTATACCAAAATTCAGAAGTATTTATGTTTTTCTTTATTTTTCTTTCGTTCCTGGGGTAATTGCGATAAATCAGAATTATGAAGTTGATTTCTAAAATGCGATTATCTCGAAAACTGTTGAGATTTGAAGATATTAACAAGTATACCTTTTTTAGTTAAAATAATGTATCTTTATATGCCACATATGCCACATATGTATGCCACATATGTGGCATATGTGGCGTTCTCTATCAGCTTCATCAAAGTATACATACAATTATTATTTCTGACATTTAATAGTAATTAGTTGTAAATTTTTATACATAAATGTTGACAAACGTAAAAGTTATAGCGAAAAATAAAATTTTAAATTTCTACTTTAACATCCTGTATCTTTCTTAATCTCAACATTTTAACAAAGCAGCTTTACTTAAATCGTAATATTTTAAAGTGTAGACTCTACGGTTTCTTTTTGTATAATTACTTAAGGACCATCCTGTATAGTCATTATGACATTGATTATGATATTGATGTTTGATTTATGTCAGAAAGACACTCATTTCTGTTTATTGTATTTTTTGTTGTTGATAACTAGCTCTCGATTGTTATTATGGTTACGTAAAAAGTGGCGCCAAATATGAATATTTAAATTTTTTGAAATTATAGTATTTATAGTCAGAAAATCCAATATTAGAAAATTGTAGTATTAATTTTCGTAGTAATAAAATCTTGCATTATCTTGCTGAAAACGCCACTCCTCTGGATATAAAACATAAGCCGTTTAAAAAAGAAAACCATTAAGGATGTCACAATATTTCACCACATTCTGGGAAAGGCCCGATGGCAGAAGGTCAGTTGGCCGCCCAAGAAAGAGATGGAAGGACGCAGTGGCCAGTGATCTACGTAAAATGGGAGTGCAGCAGTGGGAAATAGCTGCTCAGGACCGACAACAATGGAGGGAAATAGTAAACGCGGCCAAGACTCACCTAGAGTTGTAGAGCCGAATGATGATGATGAATATTTCGCACTATCAACAGTACCATTAACTATACAGAAAGGTGTAGCACCACGCTGAGATATTGCTCTCCAAACCATTATTTGAGTGGCAAATTTGGAAATTCGAACGGTAACATTTTTTCTTGATAGGACTTTTAGATGATTTGCACCAAGCTGGAAACAACTTTTATCAGATATAAAGTCATTATTAAAATTATCTTCTCGAACACTTTGACAAAATCTACTCTTCGTTGTTGCTCGTTAATTTTCGAAACGCTAGGCTCGGATTTTGTTGTCCTAAAGCCAATAAAGCATTTGAATTGTTTCTATGTCAACTCATCAAAAAGAGAAATGAAAGATGAATTCTGTGATATGGAGGCCGAAGAACTCAAGTATTGACAATCTGTTTACTGTTACTCAGCTAATCGAAAAACAGTAGCACGAATTCAACCAATACATCTCATCTACATGGACCGTAGAAAGGCTTATGATAGTGTACCACAACAAAAACTTTGGGATTTCTCAAGAAAAAAAAATATTAGTGAACCTTAATCAAGGCTGTTCAATACCTCGAAAAAACAACACAAGTCAAATAAAGAAAGGTCAAGAGATATACAAGGGTTTCACTATCAGTAAAGGACTCAAATAAGGATCCTGCGAGTCTCCTACTTTGTTTAAGATCTACTCGG